TCGTGCAGTTGGCGGTGCCCAGTTCAGTGACGACGCTCGAAGGGCACGTCCGCCCTTATGCTGAGCAGTGTCCTGAGTGCGGGGAACGCCACATCGACACGACGCACGCGGGGCACGCCCGCCATTATGTTGTGGGGTGTCGCGGGTGCGGGGGAAGCCGCAACGACGCGACAGAACATAACGCCCAATACGCTGACGCAGAGGACCGCATTCGGGGCAGGGGCCCGCGACGGCGCCGAGACTCATGGTCAGAGCGACGCCATCGGTGGCCCCCCCCAGCTTCCAGCACCTCCTTGACATATGGAGCGGCCTCCGCTCCGGATGGAAGGTCGTCGGCGGGGGCATGATCGCCTTGGCCAGCTGTCAACCTGCATGGACGCATGCGGCGGAAATGGCAGCATGCGACACCTTGTTTCGCCGACGGGATGAACAGCCAGGGGTTTCATTGCAAGTGTTTCGGCTGCCGAGCATAACATCGGCAATCGTATGTCGCAAACGGTTTTCGTGAATGCGACATACATGGGAAGGCAGAGGCAGCCGCATGTCGTGAAATATGTTCGCGGGTACGATATAGCAGGACAAACCAGAGAACGCCCGCATCAGGCGAACTATGTTCGCACATGCAACGTAGTTGCTCATGCAATTGAGGGGCTGTTGCCATGATTTGTGTTTGTGGAGCAGCAGATTCTGTTGCCTGCAGCACGTTGATTGTTTTACTGTGCTCCTCCAGCTGTGTGCTCTCCTTGTTCCCTGCATCGGCTCGTTCTAGGAGCTTTGCCCTGCGTAGTTGCCGCCCTGCCTCGTGTGTCGTAGAATATTTTTGCGTTTGGCACCTTGGGGGCAAGGTGCTTTGGGACGACACGAAATCCGGCAACTCCCGGAGCGTGTCGAATCAGGCTCACGCATCCTGCTGCAATTGTTTGTGAAGCTTCTTTGGTTGCGGCACGGTATGCGTGCTGCAACCGACGGGGCGCAAGCAGACTCGTTTGAGTATCAGACTCGAACGGTAGCCAATGAACTGTTCCTGCCTTTTTTATGGCCCTGCTCAATATTCTCACATGTCCGCCGCCGTGGGCACGGAAATGGTTCCTTTACGGTGCCCGTGTTCGACGCTTGTTTTACCGTGTAATTCGCTTTCGCGAGCAGCACATCCGTTTTCATGATTTCTTCCTCTTCCTCCTCCTTGTCCCCTGCTCCTCTGCTCCCCCGCCATCCACCCACGAACGCGGGGAGGAGTAAGAAAAGAAGTAGGGGGAGGAGGGGTGAGCGGGTAGGAGGGGGGGAGGAACAGGGGAAGAGAAGGAAGGGAGGAGGTGGATGGGGAATGGGGGAGGAAACAGGAGGAGGGATAATGCAGCAAACTGGAGGCAGGGGAGGAGGACCAGGAATAGGTGGATGAGGGGGAGGAGGAGGAGGAAGAGACGCCAGGCGGCAGATAATGATGACGATGATGATAATGATGCTGTTGCTGATGATGATACTGTTGTTGTTGATGATGGTGATGGTGATGGTGATGCTAATGAATGTTCCCGATGGTGGTGGTGATGATGGAGGTGATGGTGATACTGATGCTCGTGATGGTAATGATGATGACGGTGACGGTGAGGATCGTGATGATGGTGATGATGATAAAGATGATTGTGATATTTGATGACGACTGGTGTGGCGAGGTGATACTGAGGTGATGTTGATATGGTGTGGTGTGGTGTGGTGGTGAGGTGTGTGATGGTGATGTGGTGTGGTATGTTGAGATGATGGTGATACTGATGCTCGTGATGGTAATGATGATGACGGTGATGGTGAGGATGGTGTTGATGGTGATGATGGTGAGGATGGTGTGATTGTGATGATGGTGGTGGTGGTGATGTTTCGGCGACGACTATGAGGAGGCGGAGGAGGATAATGGAGAGGAGGATGAGGATGAGGAGGATTATGAGGAGGATAATGATGCTGAGGGCGAGGATGATGATGCTGATGAGGGTGGTGATGATGGTGATGATGGTAACGACGATGGCGATGCTGCTGTTGATAAATTTTGATAATGGGATGGCGGTGATGATGCTAACGACGATGATGGTGATGCTGGCGATGACGATTCTGATAAGGATGATGCGGAGGATGAAGGTACTGATGGTGATGATGAGGATGCTGATCATGATGATGATGATGATGCTGATGATGATGATGATCATGATGATGCTGCTGCTGATGATGCTGTTGATGATGATGATCAGGATGATGATGGTGGTGATGATGATGCTGACGATGATGGTGATGCTGATGCTGATGATGATGGTTATGATGATGGTGATGCTGATGCTGATGATGATGATGATGATGACGATGGTGATGATTTTGGTGTTGAGGGTGATGCTGCGGATGGGGATGAGGATGAGGGTGAGGATGATGGTGATGATGGAGATGATGGTGGTGATGGTGATGGTGCTAGGGATGGTGATGGTGATGATGATGACGATGATGGTGATGCTGATGATGCTGATCATGATGATGAAGATGATGATGATGATGATGATGATGATGATGATGATGATGATGACGATGATGATGATGCTGATGATGATGATGATGATGGTGATGGCGGTGGTGTTCGCGATGACGGTGACGATGGTGATACTGATGATGTTGCTATTGATGATGATGCTGATGCCGACGACTACGGCGACAATGGCGGTGAGGAGGAGGATGAGGAGGAGGAGGAGGAGGAGGAGGGAGGAGGAGAAGGCAGACGATGGTGGTAAGGAACACGAAATGGGGGGTGGAGGAAATGAGGAGCCTGTTCGCTAAGAGTGAGCCAGTCAGTGTAAGGTCACATGCAATGATCCTGCACTGTCGACTGCAGTTAAGAAGTACTGTCGAACGTTGAAAGCACTGGTACGCTTTGGGGAGGACGAGGGGAAGGAGGAGGACGAGGAGACGCGATGGTAGGCAAATGACGCTATGTCGAAGATTGCCTGTTTATAGATTGCGTTGCTTTTGTCGTGGTTGAAAGTTCGTTTAGCTCCGATGGGTTTTTTAGTATCAGTCGTCTGAACCAAGAACTCCCTGGCTCATGTTTGAAGCAGGTGCTCTCTTCGGATATGTGTTATTTTCGTGTGCTCATGTGTGCTCGGTCTTTCGATAGGTGGACAGTTTTTCTTAGAGGCGCTGCAGAATGCGGACGACACCGGGCGGTCCGGAAAGTTCTGCGCGCTCCTCGACCTGAGGCAGCACCCGTGCAAGAGCCTCAGGAAGCCCGTGGCCGCGAGATCTCTGCTGCAGAACGAGGCGATCCTATTCTACGACGATGCCGGCTTCAAGGACGGGAGAGCGGGGAGCCGCACATGCTCTCAGCAGCCGTAGCGGGAGTTCCCCCGTCCCCACCTCTCTCCCCTCCTGCAGCGGCGTGTGCCTTCGTGATAACCGTCACAGTGGGCCGACCCGCACCCTCGTGCAGAACCGTGCCTCTCAAGCAGCGCGCACGTGCTGCTGGATGGGCCAACTGCAAGCAGAGTCCTTACGTAGCTAACTTTCAGGCTCAAGGCTGGGTCAAGGAGGCGTAGGACATGATGTGGCAGAGCCCGTCGGCATGGGCCCGCCGCTCTGGGAGGTCGTTGGTGGCACAGCGAGCGGGGGCATCATCGCGCGTGCGGAGAAGCAGCTTTCCTCGGGCCCGCTGCCCGAGAGGCTTGCTACGGGCAGCCTGGTGGAGTGCCTCGAGCTGTCTGGGGACCGGCTCCGCTTCCGCCTGAGGACAGGCGCGGGCCCGAAGGAAGGCTGGATAAGCACGTCCGCCAGGGGCAAGGACTCCCGTGGAGGAAAAGATACTGATACCGCCGCTCCTCCTGAAGAGCCTTCGTTGCCACAGCTTGATTCTCCTCGAAGTTCTGGTCAGGACGCGCCCCAGGCGAGGTCCGTGGAATAGCGGCATCGGTACCTTCTTGTCCCCCCAAGGACCTCGTGGTGTGCAGGGCGGGCCTCGGCGCACCGCCAGAGGCGGCCGCGCGGCCGGAGGATTTGAACGCCCGAAACGGGTATGGAAACCGTTGGTACGATGCCCAACATCAGCTGTTGTCCAAAGCCGACAGCGGCCGCTGCTGGGCAGGCGGCCTGGTGTCTCCAAGGGGCGACGCCCGCGGCGGCACCGACAGCGAGTCCTGTTCAAGATGGACGGGAGCTGCTGTCGGTCTTTGTGCCCACTCTTGCCGTACGGTGGGCTCGCGTCGTGTCGACCAGCGGCGACCCCGCCGCCAGCGTTCAACGTTGAACGCTGCCGAAGGATGCGACGTTTCAGCACACGGCCGATCGTTCCAGGCTGAACGATCCCCTGGGTGTCAGGAACCAACACCGGGGTCGGCACGACACGACCTTGCCGTACCCATCTCGATCCTCCCGAGAGGATGGGGCGGAGGGCGAGCCGGAGGAGGCGGCCCTGCGCCGTGGGCCTCCCGCTGGTCCGGCGCCCGCCGCGGAGCACGGCCCCCTCGGCGAGGCGGGCGAGCCGGCACCCGCGGGGCGCGGCGCGGCGCCCGGGGCCGAGGGCGCCCCCGCGGCAGCACCGGGCTTGCCGGCCGAGGCAGGCGGGCCGAGCGGCGGGGCGGCGGCGCGGGAGGGTGCCGCCGCGGTGCCCCCCGCGACCGCCGAGGAGTGGCGCCGAGAGGTGTCCAGGTGCCGGGCGGCCCCGGGCGAGGCCTCGTCGCTCGCGGCGGTGCTGCTGGACGCCGCGTGCGCGCTGCTGCGGGCCGGGGAGCCCCATGAGGCCGCGTCGCTGGCTCAGGAGGCGGCCGAGGAGTACAGGAAGCTGGGGGCACGCTGGCGGCTGGGCGTCGCGTGTGACACCGTAGCGAAGGCGCGGCTGCTGGTCCTCGAGGTCGGGCCCGGCGAGTCGGATCACAGCGGGCGTGGCCAGGCGGAGCAGGAGCAGCTGCGGCGGCAGTGCCACAGAGAGGCCCTGGCGGCCGCAGGCGAGGCCGTGGCCCTTTTGAGGCAGGTTGGACACCCAGATGAGGAGAAAGACTTGGCGTCTGCTCGCCAAACGCTGGCTGCTCTGCGGGGTCTTCTGGCAGGTGACTCTGGAGATGCAGATCATGCAGAGGCCGACGCAGCGACCCCCTCTGCAGCGAGCCCAGCTACGAAAGCTAGCTGCCATGTGCAGCCATCACAGCCACATTTCTTGCCAGGGTGCGGAAGCCAAGCTCAGCAACAGATGGACGAGACGCCGCGGCCCAGGGAGGCGTACTTCATCCAGGGGCCTGGCGGCCCATCCCGCTGCCGTGCCTGGGTTGTGGGCAAGGGTGCGAGTGGTCTTATCTAATGAGAGCCAAGGGTGAGGTTCGGAGGGGCGTCACGCAACTGGTGCGCCCGAGTAGGCGAGGAAGGATAGCACTGTTCTGTGCTGCCGTGCTGGTCTGATGCCCTGGTCTACTGTGCTGGTGTGGTGTGCTTGTCTGGTCCACAGGGCTGGTCTGCCTGGTGCACGTGCGAGCGGGGGGAGGCGCGGAACGAGTTGAGGCCACAAAGTAATCCCAGCCATGTCTCTGGAAAGCCACCATGGGGAGTTTCGAAGGACATAGGTCTCTGGGGGGCCTCTTTCGGCGTCTCCGATGCCTCTTGGAGGCTTCTGCGGAGCGTATCGGAGGCCTCTTGGGAGCCTCTTGGCGAGCTGTGGGGGCGTCTTGGGGAGCCTTTGGGGCCTCTTGGCGCTCCTGGGGTCCGTTCGCTGAGCCCCT